TATATATTTCTAGAATAATAAAAATTGTTCAAAGAAGATTCTAGATATTTAAGTAAAATCTTTTAACTGCAAGGAAGAAAATCTTTTTTCCCCATGTTAGGTAAAACTAAGCATTCCACAGGAATGAGAAAGCAAATGTGAAAAATAAGCTTGATTCTGTTAAAGGTTCATGTTGTCTATATACTAGTATACCAGAAGCATTTGACTTTACTGAACTATGTGACAAACTGAATTAATTTTAGTATTTCCATAAAACATTTTCATTCCAAAGTTAAAATGCTTTCTTTGGGCTTTAAAAAAAAACCCAACAGAGCCTTTTTAATGTTTTGTTTCCTGCTTTTGAATTCTGGCAGGTTTATGGAAGGATAAATTATCTGTTTTGACTATTAGAATAGTCATAATGAAAGCAATTAACATAGCATGAAAAGAATCTCCCTTCAAGTCAAAGGGGAAGTTCCCTTAGTTCTTGTGCCCATGTATGTCTTTTTATTTTGGTTAAGTGTACTCAGTGAGCTGTCTGATAATGATTAACTCCATGTTCCTTAAAGTTTTTGCATATACTGGCTTATTATTTATAGAAATGTTTTAGAGATCAGCCTTTTCTCCTTTAAAATATTAAGTGTAGCATAACTCATTGCAACAAGTGCAAATACCAGAAACATTACTAATTTTTAAATTTCTGAAATAACTTTACAACAATCATCCTAATAGCCAAGTATGCAAATGTATTTTTCAATTACATGCATTAAGTTTCTACTACCTCTTTCAGACATAGAACTCCAAAAGCCAAAAATATTTTAACTGCATATGCATTAGAAAGCAATGCCAGCCCTGATATATATAAAAATAAATATACCTTAAAAAGAGAGAGAGCATGCACACATGCAGCAAAGAATGCAGGAGACCTAATTAGAATGGAATTTAAACACAAATTGAAGGAATCAGCTACCCAGCTCTTACAGATGCAACTTCCTAGAAACATAGAACTTCAAATGTTGAAGTTCCATAGTTCATATACTTACTCAAGACACAGTCCTGAAAATGGTGCTAGCATTTATCAAAAAAACAGCAGCAATTTAATAGCACTTCTGACGTAAGGAAAATTTTATTATGGAATAAACTGGAAAGAAATATTGTTCAATTATGCAATCCATTTCCAGTGAATTAAAATTCTACCACTGCTGGCACCACAGAACATCTTCACATTTGATACAAATATGAGAGATCAGTTACAAGGTCAGTCAGACAAAAAACCAAACTTACGTTATATAATGCAGAACAGATTGTAAGCATAATTTTTATAAGCTGCAACTGCACTGCAGCTGCAAAGACTTGAACAAAGTACCACATAAATTTTTCCAAAAGATAATTAATCATAATACAAGCTTTAGACATTACAGTTACCAGCAACATTCTGCTAAGAAAAAAGGCTGTATATTCTTCTAACTTACAGTTTGAAAATGTAAGCTATTTTTCTAAACCTGAAGAGTTTAGAAAGTCTTGCACCCTCTTTCTACAGTAGAATATATAATATAGATAGTATTTTACATAGAATATCTTATAATTTTTTTTCACATTGTAATTAAACAGGCAAAATTTACATTTTTGTTTTGGTGGCAAAGATTTAATTTCAGACCCTAGTTTGAAGATGCTGAATCATAATCATACAGAAAGGAAACAGTGGCAGCAGCTGCTTCAGGAAGCATGGGTGCAAGCACATGACGACAAATTGGGCATGTTCCCGACTACAAAAAGAAAAAAACACAACCCAGGTCATTTGCACAGTTTGCTTTCAATTCTATTGAAAAGCTAAAGGTTATTACTTATGAAGTGCTTAATGTCTTCACAACTGCACTGTCTCAAAGTCCAACTTGACTGGATAGCTACCTGGAGCTAAGAGGCAGTAACAATTTCAGAACAGAGCTTTGTTTTGGTTTTATACCAGTTACACAGCAGATACATCAATCTCTCTGCAAAGTTTTCAAAGAATTGATTTTACAGGGTTGGTGGGTTTTTTTGAGGGACAGATAAAAAATAAACTACGTGCAGTCCAAATCTAACAGGAAGATTTTTGTCCTAGTTTTCAGCAAGAGCAGTTTACTCTTACAGTGGGAAGAGGTAAGACACATAATACAAGCAATAACAATGTGGTAATCAACACAATCAAAATAAAAAAAAATTATAAACCCACCAACAACTTATGCTAGATGTGTTCTGATCTGATCTCCCTAATCTGAATCAATTAATCTACCTCTTGTACCTCTTGAGGAAATGTGTTATACTGTAGCTCACTGAGAACTAGCAAGTCCAGGCTCATACTGTACGTAAAGCATAGTACAAGTGCAAGGAAAATATACCAATTTATTAATGACAGTTCTTTTAGCATAGCCTCAATGTGATGTAGGCCTTTTTAAGACATTTGGAAGGAAACTGATTACGGATTATGAAAATGAAATCTAATACAATATAGATTTACTAAAAGTAATTTCTTTTCAATTAATCTACAAGCATTCCAGTATTTCTCCTGACAACCTTAGCTACCACCATAAATGGACCTGACATTCTGGAAAGACAGATCAGATCCTTTACTCTTCTCAGAGAAAACCAAATCATCTTCTTTACTTCAAGGTATGAGTACAGTAAAGAGAGCTTTTCTTTTTTCTTGTACCAAAACAAGTTATAACTCATCCACTTCTTTCATTCTTACTAAAGGCAGACCATGTTTTTCCTCACAAAACCACCCTCTCTATTCAAGAAGTTGCCCGAGGTGAGTACAGATATAAATTACTTTTCTGACTTACACTAGAATTTGGTTGCATAATGCATAAAATTAACAGCCAGTTATTTCTTGGTTTTCATCCCACATGTTCAGAAAGTTACAATTCTTTCCAGAATGCAAATACCCCTCAAAAACCCACAAAACCTCCACCAATCCTGTAGTACTTACTTTCTGTAACCAAAGAGTTACACAAGGTTTGTGAAACAAATGACGACAGGGTAGCTGTGTTATGATTTCATCTTTCACATAGTCACTGCAACAGATAGTACAACACTGGTCTTGACCTACAGACATGATGAAGAAAAAGCATTATTATCTTGTTTTACATCTAAGATGACCTAATATTAAAATACATGTTGATACATCAACAGTGTCACTAATGATTACAAAATACAATCACACAGGCTCCAGTAAAGATTAGTTTTCCAAACTGACCAAAATTATATTCAGTCTGATTAAAGACTCAAAAGCTCTTAGACCAGCATTGCCAGCTGCATGGTAAGTATATTTAAATACTGCATCTATGTTATTACAGAAAGCTAAACTTGTTCTTATGAAATTTGTGGAAAGTAATTCTTAATTGTTTTTCCATACCATTGTGGTCATCTGTGATGATAATCTGTGGCAGGCTATCTATGGTTTCTTTAGTAGCTGGTGGATAAGCCTGTTCAACATCAAATCCAAAAGACTCCAAATGTGCCAGAGCAGTCTGAAAAGGGTGAGCAGAGACCAAGTTATCTTACAAACATAACATTCCATATAAAAACAAGTAAGGAGGAAAAAGGAATCCAATTCCAATATTATTACTTAAGAATTAAGTAATATATTCACTACTTCTCCCCCCCAAATATCACAATTGATTGTGACAGGTCTTCCCCACCACCCCAATTAAGATACACTTAAATTTTGGATGCATTACCATGCCACACACTTTTCAAATGTTTCATAGCTACAGAAAAATCGTTTACTGGATAGAGAAATTTTTGGAACATTTTCTGAGCTATAATAGACCCCTGAAATAAATTATGTTGTTATAGGTGACAGATCTGGTTAATGAATCTACTATTTTAGGTAAGAGAATTTTGGGAAATTTAAGGAAGTGGATTAAGTGAATCAGTAACAGGTTGAACTAAAGTCACAGTCATTACATAGATTATCAACGATGTTATAATTTAACTCAACCCAATCTGTTCATCAAATCAGATTAATACTTGAAGCTAGTCAAAGCTCAGACTTCTCCATTACAAAACCTCTGGTGCACAAATACTTATTACCAGGAAGCAGATGGGTTATTTTTTAAACTTGAAGCAAAAGCAGAGGTATGTTGCACCCATAAGGCAGAATCAGGCTAAGCAATATTTAAATAATAGCTGTTTGCCCTAAAGCCAGATCTAAATAATACTAAAATAGCGTAACTGGCAACAAGTAGCCTGTTAGAAAGCTGAGCATTAATATATAGATAATACGTGACTACAAAGTGGCAAACCAGCTTGGGGTATAGTTGTTCAAACAGAGAAAGAAAACACACATGCAAACAGTAAGATCTGGAAGGTGAGAGCAAAAGTTGTAGAACAAGCAGGAAAGGTATCCGTTGAAACTGAAATGTAATTATCCTGCAGAAAAATGCCTAGCAAAACCAGAACAAGTCCTGATCCCTAAAATAAGATGAACTGTGTCAAGAATGGATGAAATCACTCCCTTTACTCTTGGGAAGAGGGATGAGGAGCATTAAATACCAATCATGAAGAAAGACAACTAGCTTCAATTCTCCCTTGTCTCAACGAGCTCTCAAGCCTGATCACCTTGACCTTAGTTACTAAGATATCCCTCACTGCAATCTCCAGCTCCCTCCTTGATACATATATACAGCTGCAACAAACTACAGAACAAAAATTGTCATATTACAAACATTTTCTACACACCCTAAAAATGGAAAATCAGAAATTTTGTTTTCTAGCAGAAGGCAAAGACATCTTCAGCCATCTCTCTTACCCAAACTGGAAAAGTTAGTTGAGTTTGGTCTTTGCATCACAAACTGGTTTTGAAAAAAAGAATTTTTTTTCCCCTGACATTACATTGGACTAGCCATTGGCAAGTCTTGTTTTCTAGAAAGCAGAAAACATTATATCCTGATGCTGTCTACATCTTGCTGTGGCCATTAAAAGATAGGATCTCAGCAAACAATTAAAATTAATTCTGGATAGACAGACATTACAAAGCCTTTTTTCACTCACTTTCTATCAACTTCCAAAAACACTTGCAGTATTGCCTAAGAGAAATGTTGAACAGTTTTGGGTAATCCTTGCTCTTATTTTCTGAACAATTTTAGTAACCACCTTCATACTGGAAAGAGAGGTGCTCTATATATTCAGCTTCAGATTTGGAAGAAATATTTAGAATTCTTACTCAAACTTGTGTTGTCCATTTAGTCACAGTCAATATAGCTATTCCTTTTATTAATCAGTTACCATTTTCTGCTGACTAATTCCAACTATGCCAGACTTCTATGCCCACCATAAAGATACCCAAAGTGCTAATTTCAAGCACAAATACTACTTAAGAGAATTGGCTTTCCCTCTTGTTCAACATCCACAGTGAGCTGTACCACAGGTACCAGGGAAACTACTTTTGTAGTCATCTGCCTGCTTGCCAAGTGTGTTCAATGACTCTGTTCCTGGTGACACTAACATAATTACAGCATCTTCTCTGGCTAGGATGAGAAGCCATGCACATTGCCACCTAGGATTGCCTTTATGGGTCAGCTTGACAAGAGTGCGCATGTTTTCTTTGACAGAGTAACTAGGGAAATGTTGTTACTCAGTAATGAGAAAGAAAAGAAAATCAGAGCCATAAAAACCTCAGCCTCCTCTTGAAGTGTTAACATACAGATTAAAAAAAAAGATGGGATTATTTCCCCTCACTACAGAGATCCTCTTGCTTTGGTGCAAAGGAGGAGGTCCAACTGCTTCTGTAGTTCTGTTTTTTGAGGTAGTGAGAACCAGTAGCTATGAAAGAGACACAGAATTTTCTCTATACAGCTTCAAAATACTGCTTTTATAGTAAGGATATCAACAGACCTCCTACAAATTAACAAGAAGTTTTGAATTGTCTCTAGATGAGTAGTGCTAACAAGATCCTACACAGCTGAAGAAAACGCTGTGGTACTTGATTATGAATAATGCTGACCTCCCACATACCTTTCATATAGCTTGAGGGATGCACAATACCTGGAAATTGAATGACTGCCAATTTCAGGGAACAACCTTCCACCCCCTTGGAAAATCCCCATGAAGTTTATTAAAAATCATTGATTTTGCACACATCTATGGAAAAAAATTATCTACAATTGTTCCGCTGTCAGCTTTAGAAAGCTTTTTAATGCATCCATGGTATTTTGTCTGCAAACACACTATGACGTACAGTCTACCCTGTTCACCCCTTTTAACTAAAAGCTAGTAGTCACATTGCCCCTTGATGCCCCTGAACTTATGTCTCACACAAAGCATTCAACTTAATTATTGTAACACCATACTATAAGTCTACACATCATTTAACTCTTATTTTCACAAATACCCTGCAGGGGAGATTTCTAGCAGTGCAAGAATTGTCGCACTGCATCAAAGTGAATTTCAGCTAGCTCCATATTCACTCTGACAAGTGACCAACGTCAGGTAACACAGAAAAGACAAAGATCATAACCATACTGGTTCTCTGGTTTATCCAAAGTTAGACAGATGAAATGAGATTAGAACAAGGTAAAGATAAAAGGCTTTTTTGCTTTTGGGTGGTTTTTGTTGGGTTTGCTTTTAGGGGTTTTTTGAAACACATGGAGTCAAGACAATCACAGAAAAGTCTTCATCTGAGGAATAAGAGACATCCAATTGTACTCTTGCAAAAAAAAAGCTGGGACAATTCATAGGCACAGATCCAGGTATAAACGTCCCTTTGTTATATAGGGAATTGGCAACATTCTTTAAAATAATTCAAATGGCATATTTTTATACTGGTAGAAAACAGTATCTTTTCCCTTTTAAGAGAACACACATACTCTAAAATGAGTAGCACTGATCAATGACTTCTTGCACTACATTATTTAAAAGAACTTCCAACATTTTCAAGCTCGCAGACCTGAAAATTCAAGCTAAACCAGGAAAGTAATTTTTCCCTGATTCTTCTGATTTTCAGGTTATGTTGAAAAAGGATTCAATAATAAAAACTTATGTCACAAAATCACAGATATAACGCCACCAAGAATATTTTAATACCTCCATAGCTTGTTGTAAGTGCCCCTCTAGTGCCATAAATGTGAAAAAATGGGGATCCACATATGGAATGACTTGAGCAAGTCCCAGGCCATCACCAAACTCATCAAGTAGTCTGAAAAACATGAGTTAAGAAACATGGTCTTCATTTCAAAGTAAATACTACTATCATGAGGGCTGGGTACATCAAATTACAGCACATCACCTGTTAACAATTGTGTGTATACTCTCAGGAGATGGCTCGGTTGGGTTGACCTTGGCTGGCTGCCAGATACCCAATCAGCTGCTCTCTTACACCCCCCACCCCAACTGGATGGGGCATAAGTAAGACTAAAAGCTCATGGGTCGAGATAAAGACAGGGAGGCCACTCAATCACCATTCACAGGCAAAACAGACTCACAGAGGGGAAACCTTAAAGTAAAACCTTAAGGGGGAACTTTAACTAAAAGGTTGAACCAGATGATCTTTTGAGGTCCTTTCCAATCTGGGCTGTTCTATGATTCTATGAATTTATTGCCAATAAAACCAGATTTGGATTGTGAGAAACAATGACAAACACTAAAACACTTTCCTCAGCCCTCCCTTTCTTCCCAGGTTCAACTTCACACCTTCATTCCTGACTCCTCTGTGTTCCCCTACACCAAGCAGTAGAGAGGGACAGGGAATGGGGGCTGTGGTCAGTTCACAGCAGTTCCTCCCTGCCACTCCTTTCTTCTCACACTGTTCCCCTGCTCCAGTGTGGGGCCCCTCACACAGGCTGTAGTCCTTCAGCATAAACTTGCTGCTGCACAGGTCCTTCCCACAAACTTGCAGTCCTTCACTAATTGCTCCAATGTGGGCTTTCCACAGGCACAATTCCTTCAGCAAATACCTACCTGCTCCAACTGTGGTCCTCTCCCAGGGTTGCAGGGGAATCTCTCCTCCAGCACCTGGAGTACTGCCTCCCCCTTCTTCTCTGACCTTGGTGTTTGTAGGGTTGTTTCTCTCATCATCCTCAATCCTCTCTCACACTCTGCTGTGCTATATTTCTTACCCTTTCTTAAATACACTTTTGCAGAGGCACCACCCTACAGTGGGTCTGTTGCAGCCAGCTATGTCCCACACAGGGAAGCCCCAGTCTCTCCTCACAGAGGCCACCAAGCAGCCCCCCCACCAGCACCTGCTCCCAGTACAGAACATGATAGGAGTTTTTACTATTGACTACTCCAGAGGAAAAGAGCATACAGTTCAGCTAATAAATTTCATTTGTATGCTATTAAGCTCATTTTACAACTAGCATTCAGATTTTTATTACATCATGTGTCACAGTTCATAGCTTGGCAGCTGCTTCGAGTTCTGTTTTCAACATTCAGAAATCAAATCTTTTCAGAGACGAAATGCTAACACAGGCACAAGCAAAATCATGTACAGATCTATGTATGCTCAACAGACAAAACTTAAGATTACTAGAGATGCATCTTCCTTCATATTTTGAGTAATTGGGAAGCTTACTAATGCTAACCTCCAACATCTAAAAAGCAGTTTTGTCTACATCCTACAATTCCCTTGTTAGCTTGCTGCCAGGCACTGTAAGAACACATGCCTTCTAGCTTGGACTCTTATGCATTAGTCCCTGTTGTGCTTTTTCACAATGTAATTTCACAAGAAGATATCAGTGTTTTTGCTATGTCCACACTGTATTTTATATTTGTAATAGGCAGAATTACAAATAGCAAGTATTACGTCTCTCACTGGAAAGCATTCTGTCTAGCTCATTCATACTTTAAAAGAAGTGTACTGTATTATTCTAGGATTAGGCTGTGCAAGTGGCTGTGATCACTTCTTGGTATTTGCAGAATTTTTGTAAAAATATATTGTAATATTCTTCAGTAATCTAATGACAGAAAAATTGAACGAAGCATTCAAAATTATGATATTAGGTAAGTGCATGACATTTCAAAGATAAATAAAATAGGCTTATAACATCTAACTTAGAGTTGCAGAGAGGAAAAGCCCAATTATAAAATTTCACTGACTTGAATGCTGATTACATTCATAATGCTTTACTTTTGTTATACTTCCACTATACTTACCACCTGGAAAATTGAAAAAAATACACCCCATCCCTTGACTATTTAGTGCATCACAGTCTTCTCAGATCACAGGTTGATTTAGCAAGTCTACATCCCTTTTCTTCTCGTTAGAAAAAATAGCACTTGAACTACCTTAAGCCTTAAAACTCAGATTATCAGCCTTTGAAACAAGTGCATACTGGTAGCCATGAGTATTTTTGCTATCTTACATAACAATCAAAACAATAACTATAAAACCTCTGAAATTAATGCAGAAAACTATCAAAGGCATACCTCCATTCCACATCCAGGTCTTCACTCACACTGGAGTCATCCTCAAGGTTGTTATTTCCATCCAACAGGAAGAATCCAGGATGCATGAAATCACTAACTGGATCATCTTCATCACTGCTACTTTCTACTTCTTCCTGGTACTGTAACCAAGGAATCTCTCCTTCCTCCAGTAATGTCTGTTCCCTTCAAATAAATAAATGAAAAGCTAAAACTAGAAGTCTAAGAGACTGTACAAACACATGCAAGCAACAAAAGCTACACATACTACAAGAGCTGCAGCTGCACGTTTCTCAGACTGCAGAGTCTCAGGTTAGGAATTTAGTATTTGCTATAAAAAACCAAGAAACTCACAGTGGTATCTTGCTCCAGACTCAGAATCCAATAACACCTATGATTCTGTGGCAAAATTATTTGTCTAATGCTCAAGGCCAGCAGTACAGTAAGTAGTTTCCTTTGCATTTTCCCTAGTACAGGCAGTATTCCTTTTCTTATTCATCTACAAAGTCCTAAAGCTACTAAAAAGGCAGGCTCTCTTGACACCCTGGAACAGCCTTCATGGGGAAACTCAGCCTGAATGCAAAGATACATTTTTTGCAAGAGAAGCTATTTGTGTAAGGAGAAAGACTCCTTATTCCTGGATTTTCTACAGGAGCACAAGTCACCTGTACGTTTAGAACCACAGGGCTGCAACTCTCACTTTCCTTGAAGGGCAAATAAGCAGGAATCATGTTAGAAATGGGTACATTTGTAGGCTGTTCACATCAAAGAAAGCGAAAGAGCACACAGCTCCGTTGTTGTTCTGAAACAGATGAGTTTTCATAATGGTTTCATAAAGCCACTCTAATTCTCCAAACCTCAAAAGACAGCAATACTGAAAAAGCAGTAACAGTTCTGGACTGCTTGGTAATAGGTACTGTCTACCTAAGAGTGGGAGAAGCTGAAAGAACACTTAGGCATGGCTTGTTGCTTTATAGAGATCCAAACTAAGAAGGTCAATATTAGATGCTTAGGGGAAAAATCCAGCAAAACTTTCCTTGGCTATTTATAGCTACAAATTTAGCCTTGCAAGAAAGGCTGATGCATTCTATAAAGTACTGTATGACTGGAAAAATAAGTAAGTTCCCAGCAAGCAAGTAGTTCAAGTTTACTGTAATCACTGATAAGGCTGTAGAAATAAAGAGCAACAGTGGAATATGAGACACAATAAAGCAAAGAGATAAACAACTGCTTTGCAAGGAGTTCTAAAGCAGTAACAGAAGATACGTATGTAACATATGTCTTTACAATTAACTCGCCTAACTTGGCTTTTTAAAGTTGGTATATCCAGCCTGTTATCCTTATTGACAGTATGTGTCACTGCCCTCTAATTATTTCTTTCATAAAATAGAGTTGTTTGCACAACATGCCATTTTTTCCCCCTAATCTGAAATACATAAAACTACTTAGATTATTTTGATGTAGGCAACTGATTACTGCTAGTATAGTGACTAGTTTTAGTAGTAACTGATCTAGTAACTGATGTTATTCTGTGTTGCATCATGTGGATACCATGTTACCATTGATGTCAGAACTTACAGGAAGTTAGCTAATGAAACAAAGCCATACCCTCCTTGGAAACAGAAGTCTGTGTCCTCTTCTACACCACTGCTGCTGCTCTGCACTTCAGGCTCATGTTCCTCCCTGCCTGGAACAGTCTCCCAGCTCTCATCACTTGAGGCTTGGTCTTTTTCTCTAGGAATAAAATAGGCAGGCACAGCTGTAGACCATTCCCCATCACTGCATTCTGAGCTGCAATTTAAACAAGGCAACGGGGTGTGAATTTAAACACTGTTTTAGGGGAAAGAAAAGAAACACTAACATTCTGTGATATCCTACTTTTCTACGAACATTGCTCTCAATATAGACTATTTTTTTCCAGGAGAAATTAATTTTGTACTGTTTATAGATGTATTAAGGCAAGCATACATAAAGAGATGATTAAAAAATCAGTTCCTAAGAAAGAATTCTGCCTGTCCCACTTTGCAAAAATGTTTTGTTCCTCCCCCTCCACATTTGCAGAGTACATAAAACAACTGAAGAATATAAGCCCAGACCCATTATACACATCTGCCTCCTAGCACACAAAGGGAAAACACCAGCAGTGACATTGAGAACATTAATGCTTGCCTAACAAACAGTAAGCTATGTCAGCCTTACCTCTCAGACAAATAACACTTAAAGTAAAATCTCTAAACCATACACAATGGTCCTCTTTTTTTAATCATACAAAGATACAATGGATGGCTTACTACAAATCGTATAATTCATTAGCGCGTACAGATGAATGGCAGGAAGTTTTTCAAAGAGAATTTGCTCAGCCACCACAGAGAAGGGCAGTAAATAACAAGCTGTGGGCAGCTTAAACAAAATAGTGATGTTAGCAGCATATTAAGAAGGATGAACTTATCTGCTACTGCCTTTAGTAATACCACTTAGAAGGTTCACTCAAGACTAACAGTGACACTTGACACCTAACAAAATTAGAACAGTCACTTGTCACTTCAAAATGTTACAGGAAACTAATAAATATGTGAACAGCAAACATGCTTAATAGAACACATCTTACACAAGAATCCGTAACACCTGCAGCTCAGAGTTTTCAACGTACTAAACCTGGTAAGTCTATGTGTATCAGTGTTATCTCCCCATCTACAAACTCATTTTAAATGACTCCTATATAATACTGCAAGCAAATGCCAAGAATACCCACTATTTAATGAATTACAAGTACTTTTGAAAAACTGCACATTATATACTGCAAGTTTTACAAGAATATGGAATATCAAGACACACATTATGTGGACGCATTTTAATTTGAAGCAGGAAAAGTGATGAAATGGCAATATTAATTAACTTTGGGTTAATGTAAAGGACCACTTTAAAATAGAAAACATATCTGTTAAGAAATTCTGAGATGCAGTCTACTGCATCTTATATTACACCAACTAAAGCTGAATACCAACTTTCTAGAACCTTTTGTTTTGTCTGTTTTTTTTTGTTGTTTTAAAAAGGCTAAAGCAGTAAACTGTAAGGCTAGCCCAAATATTCAAGTCTCCTATTTTACAATCCAGGAATGATTTCCAACACACTTCATAATAATATGCCTATGTTGTTAGTCAAATCTGTTCTCTTTAAAGTTTATAGAGAAACACTAATTCAAACCAGAAAAGAGGATATGCCAAAGTCATTAATACTGAACAAAGGAAGAACAATGAATATGTATATTTCAAAATTTAGGATTTAACTGTGACGAATTCTGCAGAGAAGCAGAACATCACTTAATGGTTACAGCATTACAGACTTGCCACTTGCCAAAAGCATAACACATGAACTTAGCATCTGCACATGGATTTTCTGAGAATAGCCTCTCCCCTAGCTCTGTAGCCCCTCTCCTCTGTATTTGCCATATGATCCAAAAATGATCTCTCTCTAAATGGAGAGCGCTAAAGAATACGATCCTCATCCCACCATCCCTGCACTCTGGGGACCTACTATGACCCTTCCAACTTAGAGCACATGTGGTTCTAACAAAAATGTAAGACTTCCTTTCCTCACAGACCTTCTACATGCTAACACCATAATAGCTGGGCACTCCTTGAAGCAAAAATGTGAGGTGAAGGCCCAGGCTGCAATCAGTAAGGTGAATTTCTCCCTGGGTTGGAAAGACATGAAAGTTGAGTTGCAGGGTATAGCATGACACATGTCAATTCTACTTTTTATGCAACTACATATTTAAACATGTAATATGGATTAACCCTTTAAACATAAAACTTTACCTTTTGCAAGTGGAAAAACATTACTCCTTTATGCAGAGTAATCATTGACATTTTGCTTCATAATTCTTTTGAGGGTTTAGAACACAAATTATGGTTTAAGTTAAAGAACATATGCTTCCTGTTTAGTGGTTCAGTTATTGCCATCATGACAAAAAGTCATTTTCAGATATGTAATCTCTATTTCTTTTTGTTATGATACAACAATCCATCACTTTGCATCACGGAGGCCAATGCTATAATTGTAAACTACAGTCCATTTCCTCTATTGCGTTTTAATCTTCCAGTGGCAGCATTTCAGAAGTGGAAAAGATTACACAGTAACAAACATTTTTGAAAAGTAAACCTTACACGGGAGGAAAGGATTCATTTGTAAGTCTGCCTATATCTTTAAGAAAAAAGAAAATTAAGTCTACTAACCCATTTTAAAATGCCTTAAGGATTTTTTTCTCTCTCATAACTGGGACTGCACTATTTTAAGGACAAGAGTTTATGCAGATCAATTCTCATGCTATGCTCTCCACAAAAGCAGTGGAAACACAATCTATTAGGCTACTTAACACATGAAGCCTAATAGCAAGCACACACACAAAAAAGCCACATCAGCATCCAGAAGACCTGACTTGTATAGAATGTATAGAATCAACAAGATGAAAGCAAGCTAGAAGAAAAATAGAAAAAATACAATCAAACAAAAGCCATTACAAACACTGCTGCATTTACCATAAATGACCAGTAGGTTAGAAATTTTTTACCCTCAAATAGTTCAGTTACATAAGAACTTCTTACTGTGAATTGTAGTTAACAGCATTATATGAGGAAAAGTTAATCAACGTAAGGTTTCCACATTAGTTTGTCTCCCGGGTAGAGAGCTCAAAACAGAAGGAGCCTGAATACTGCTCCTGGTGTCCAGGTTGGAGCTATTTGTACATCTGAAACTGTATTCATTAATAGTTACTTTGGAAACATGTATTAGTCTATAAAGACTTTTCATTAAAAGAGGGGATTATAAGAAATCCTATCAGCTTATTCTTCAGATATGTCAAGGACAAAAAATAGAGACAAGAACATACATAGGTTGTTATGCAGAATATTGGGATTTGATGGCAAAAAGAACAAATTCTGAAAATGAAAGTTCTCTTCAAGACTTGTTAAAGACTCATAATTTGCCAGAAGCCATGCTGAACAAGGTTTTCACTCTCTACTCTCCATCTGCTCACTAAAAATAAAACAATAAGCAAGTAATCTTCCTTAGTGGTAAGGCACTTTGACCCTAAAAATAAGGAAAGGCTTTTTACGTTACCAGAAAAATGTACATTACCATTTCTTTAGATGGACTTGAGGTAGGGTGAAGGAGAATTGAAAGGAAAAGCTGGCACTTTGTTATCTGATCGTATTCTGAAACTGCTTGAGTTTATGTCCCATTTGCTATCAATTTACTCAGATTTGCACACTATTTATACAAAAGATTCAGTATTCATACAGATATAAAAGTGAAATTTTACCTGTCTTCATCTTTGCAAGACACTGAGAAGGATCTCCTGCAGTCTTCAAGTTCATCCCAGAAAGTGCTGTCATCTAGCTCATCTTTTTGTTCTCGAGCTGCTGCATTTTTACTTAGGTCTACTTCTGTGTACTTGCAATGACCTTTGTATTCTCTTGAGTCAAAGAACATACTAGAACTCATCTCTTCTTTGCCATTTCTCAAGGCAAACTCAGAACAGCCATGTTGGACTTCAGCAATTTCACCTCTCCTCCAGGAACCACTTTCCTCTTCGTCATCATTAGGGAGAAGCTTCTCTCTCTCCAACTGGTTTGCAGTATTTTGTTTTCTTATTTTAGGTCTCACTACTAACTCAGGTGAATTTCCTTGGTCAGTCTTTCCATCATTGACATTTAATTCATTAGCAATTGCTACAGAGGTTCCAACTCCAACATCCACTACCTTTACTTGCTGTGTTTCACAACTGGCATCCCTGAAGTTGCTTTTTGATATAGCTTGATCTTCAGCAGAAAATTTAAATGTCCTGTTGTTTGGATGTGTCAAGTCTGAATCGATGCTAAAATATCTCATTAAAGGTATTGGTCCTACTTCTTCACAACATTCTCTAGAAACACTGTGGTTGAGAGTGGACCATCGGGACTCTAAGTCAGTAAAAGACTCTACACCTTTTTCTAACTCAGAAAGCATGTTATCTAGTGTTTCCTGAAATACACCTGCTTCTTCTCTTGCCAAAGGAAATCTGCCTTGAGCATCATCTTCCTCTCCATCACTGCTATCTGGCTCATAAGAGTCAATGTTTACAAAAGCAATTGCATTCTGACCATTCAAATCATTACGCCCTCCACACGCATATTCTGCAAGGCCATCTGAATTTTCATAAGGATTCATAAAGTTCCCTGAGATTTTGTTGCCTTCCAGACCATAAGAGAATAGAGAAAATGGCACCATGTTTGCTTCAAAAGTTTGGTTCAATACATTTTGGTAAACATGTTCTCCTGTTCCAGTATTTTCTAACAATGGGTCATCCAATACACCAGAAGAAACTTGAACCAATGGACTGGAACCTTCACAGAAAGGTGTAAGAAAGAATGCATTTGAATTGTCAAAAACAATAGAAATACTCTCATCTGCAACAGCTGTTCATGAAAAAGGATAACTCACTAGAACTGCAGTGCAATTTGATAGAGAAACATTTACCAGATATGCAGTCATTCTTCACTAATATATTTACATTCTCATTTACGTAAACTAAGCATTTAGAAATATATTTAAACAATACAATTTCAGTTCAGCCTGATAGCAAAAAACCCAAGTATTAAAGGAACATGTTCATAAGTAGCATTTTTACATTGTTTATGTAAAAGTTAATTTTAAGATGAGAACAAGAAATCTGAAAAAACAGTAGATTAAAAAAGCCGCAACATCTCTTTCCATAAGTTAAAAATTTTACTATCCATTCATTAACTGGATAAATTGTGCCTCCTGCCACACACAGATTAAGCCACTTACTGCTACTATAGATTACAAAGTAATAGTACTATTTTGTACATGAAGCTGTGAATTCAAATCCTCATAAGAAAATAATAGCAGGGATGAATATGGAATTACAGTTAGTAGTTACCATCATCACAAATTCAGTTTGGTTATATTACACTTGAACACCTCTTGCATAAAGGGACAATAAATAACAAACCCAGCAGCATGAGTTAAAGAAGGTAAAATGTATACTACTGCTGCTACTACAAAATTAATGCATAGTTTAAGTCATTTATAAACTCCTAACCAAGGCAACAGTCCAAATTATTTTTGAACATACAATGGCTTGCATAACTTGATGAGAATACTTGAAGTTTTTAAGTCAATATTAAGAGATGTGGAAACTTAACTACAAGACAAAAACAAAACAAAACAAGACATGCATCATTAATTGAAGGGATTCCCTAGCATGGTATTTTAAAAACAGTAGAGGTAGGAAAACATGTAAAATAAATGTTCTGGGTTAAAAAAAAAAATCTAATCTAAATAGCTAATCCATGCCTAAATCAGGAATTCATGTCACTGGACTTTTATAAGAGCTGTGCCTCTCAGCACTAGAAGCCTGGCTTGCAGGAAGTAATACTGTAACCTTACATTTTATCTAATTAAAAACTTGAAGCTCCTTCACAAAATTGCTAACAGCTGAGGTTGGCAAGCAGGCTCTTCTGGATATCATTCAGTCCACCCTTCTTGCTCAGAGTTACCAATTCCAGTCAGATTTTAGTATTTCCAAGTATATCTCCTTCTACCTGTCTTCCACAGTTGCTTAGATGCATGTAAGATGGCAAACTAATTAGCAAGCAAATATGCAGCATATTTTAAGTAGCACCCACCCACCAAAAAATAAGTATCAACTGGGGAGAAAAATGTAACCTAGTTGAGGTAAGGGAAATAAATCAATCCAAAACATTGCTCAAAGAGAAATCGGAAAAGCTGTAATAAAAAAAAAGACCAAATACAAAAGGAAAGGCATTTTGTTATTAGACTTAATACAGAAAATTAGTCACTCTTAGAATTTATATTCAAAGCAATTGTATTAAGAACAAGGAGATAATACACTCTAAACTATATATTTCTTATGACTCCTAAAATAGAATGCTAATTTCTGAGTAAGTGAAAAGAAGAAAGGTGGCAGCATTATAGAAAGAGACAGCAGGAAGATCTCCACAAGCATCAACACTGCCTCACGGGAAATAAACTTTTAACTAGAACAAAGTGTAGAAAATGGATGAAGCACTGACAACTGCAAAAATGTTCAAGTTACAAAAAAAATAAAACCACCCCAAGATGATCTACATCATATAACAGTCTCCAAGAACAATGGCATATGACAAAGTTAAATTAACACTATGCTATTATTAAAAAAAAGAAAACTAGAAGGAAAAAGCAGTTGCAAAATAGTCTATAAAGGAAGGAGAAAAAAATACTAGTTTGGAAGACCTGATTTTTTTTTTTTTTTGCAGAAGACCTCACATATTCAGGTAGATGGGACTACTTGTTACTAATCCAACAAGCCATTTTGTATTTCTCTATGAAATTGTTAGTCAGATCCTAAAGTCACAAGAGACATTTTGGGAAACACTAATGTTCAACATTCATTAAACAAGAAAGGGAAGTGGTCTGACTGGTATAAAAAAAAAAGAGAACCTTAAAGATGTTTTATAGGCTTAAACTAATTTCCACTGAACTTCAATAAGGTTGACAGACAGAACAACCTGGTCCATAACACATCAAATATTTCACTGCCTAGTTCCAAATAGAAGGTTAGCATAGTTATCCTCTTCCAAATGTGATTTGTAATTTGATTTGAAGACAAAATAATTTGAATTATACAATGTTATGGCTATCTAGTTGGTTAGAATGTATTAATTCATTCAGGAATGCACTTCTTCATGCAAAAGTAAACAGCCTAAGATAGCCTATACTTTAATTTGACTTCACTCTAAGTTTCATTCTATAAAGCTATATGAAATGTACTTTACATGTGTTACGTGGCTACTCTCTTCCCTTCACATTTCTCTATGTGCCTTCCCCCTCCACCCCCATACATCCCAGTTCACAATTAATGACACATACACAAAGACACAGACATACATAAAGAATTCTGAACATCCTCCACTTCTAATTGCTGGCTGGCTTCATTGTGTTGATGTTCATCTCTGATTTGGCTATTCAAAGATGGTCTAAAACTGACATAGGCATGTCTTCTTCCATATCTTCTACCTGTGACAGTTTGATATCCTCCTGCTGGTTTGGGCCAAGCAGGTTTGCCAGCTTCTTGACCCATCACTGCATGAGATTATAGAGGAAAGAAAAAGACACAGAGACCATGTTAGACAACAATGTATCTTTACAAATTCCCTCTTCCCCAACACTTTCATATAATTTTTTTTGCAAGGAACTTCCCATTTCTCTTGCTTCTTGAGCTTCACTAACAACACAATTATTAAGAACCTGAGTGCTCTGGGCACATATGTTATGAAAGCACATAACAGAATGTTCATCTACAGTAAATAATACTGACAAACACTGATCTTGCTCCCATCTTAACATGTTTGGATTAAACAACAGACTTTATAAAAAAATTTAAAAATCAAGTCCAGATATCACATATCACTTTTTTTTTTAAATGTAATACACTTCTGCAGATACTTCTGACAACACATCACCCTGCAAAAAACATTTGCAAGCACTATAACGAGAAAGCCTTCAGGTAATGCAGCACAACTCAGCACAATAGCTAGCTTATCTCTGTGACAGGAGAAGTACAATTAATCAAATCACACCTTCTGAAACAAAAGTCCTAAGTCCCAGGGAGAAGGATTTATTCCTTACACTCGGTAGTATGTTCAGGGATGGCCCTAGAAGGCAATTGCCCACATAGGGCTCCTATTATTGCAGCAGTACTCCATATGAATGAATCTTCATGCTTTTACCAAGAAAACATAGTACAAGAAAACTTAAAAAAAACAGCAAGGGAAAGCTGCCAACATGGTAATGGAAACAGAATACTACAGAGGTAGTATCAGCTGTTAATAATCTAATACAAGTGCTCATGTACAAAGTTTGTTGCTTGTACAAATGCAATTAGAAATTCCGTATTTCAGATGTTCAGTAGCTTTTCCATGACCCTTTTAATCTTTACTACATATGGAATTAACATAGTAGCTTTTCTGTTCTTGAAACTCAAACTGAAAAGGTGACATTAAAGTCCAAGAAGATATGGTTTGCAACCATTAACACAGAGTGTTCTGGACTTCGGAAAAAAAAGAAAGCTTTCTTTCTTTCTTTCCTGGGTGTTAAACCAATCTCTTCACTATGCTTAAAAAGAGAGTATCTATATGCAAAGACACCATTCCTTAGCAGTTATTTTATGCAGCTTCAAGTTAGTATAGCCACTAGTTTGGCTGGTACTTGCAGTGTATAGACTGCCTGAAAGATACAACTTGCACACATGTACCAACTGTCAAATAGTCCAAGCAGGTTTTTTTCCTTTGTTTTTCAAACTAGCACCACCATTGAGGCTGTAGTTTTGCTAGGACTGACATACAGGAAACTAACTCTGTTGCTGCCTACCTAACATAAAACATGAAAAATGAAATGCAAGGAAAAAAATGAAATATTTTTGTTGGGGCTACACTCTCAGAAACTACATGATCCCTTAAAAGCTTTACAGAAAAAACAAATAGGAGAAAGCTACCTATTGTAAACTACAGCTTCTAGTAGAAGCCAGTCTTAAGATGTTCAGACACATAACATCCTAGAAGAATTTGGTCTACAATTGCCAGCATGGAAATTCGGAAAACATTTCCAAGCAATCTGCACTTCAGTCAAATTTCTGTGGAAAAAAGTCCAGGTATTTTCTGCCTGATCTTACCGACAGGAAAGAAAACAACAACAACAACAAAAAAAAAGACAGAAACATGAGTAGTATAATGATGGTGGAAGATTAAGGGCCTCAAGAAAAATGCAAGTTCTAGGAAACAAAAAATAATCACTTTCTTTCAGCCTGACATGGGAAAAAAATAAGGTTGGAATAAATCAAACAAAATTACACTCACAATAGAACACCTGCCACAAGAGTCTAAAATATTACTGTTTCATTCCCAGGTTGACAGCAACAGTGAAGATACTTTCAGTCTTTAAAACTAAAAGGCAAATATTTACAATTCAATTGCTTAAAATTGCAACATTTAAACAAATTATAACATGAGGAGTCTTTTATCTAATGTTATCAGCTTCACTTTTTTTATCTTTAGCCAATTCTAAGAAACCATTTGCTACAAAAATGTTGTGCTATAACTTCCCACAGCATTTCTGTGGCTCTAATTGTCTCTTAAAACATATAATCCTAGTCATGTCTTCTTTCCACTCTTCTTCCCACACATGAAATCTCTCCAACCACAGCCCAGTTTCATGAACACTGCAGAAATCCAAACATGTTCACCACTAGCTGAAATACGGTCGTACTGATTATTCCACAGACCTGGGATACAAGTCAGTTGAACCTCTGCAGAAAAAAAATCAGAAAGTGTCAGAGGCTTTTTTGTCACCTCCCTATGAAGCTCTATGTAATTTGATTACACATCATCTCCTTTGAAAATATTTTCAGGTATTTGTCCAAACCTGCCCATCCACATTAAGCAACAGAAGCTAAAATGGTCAATTTATTACTAACTATACTACTCCTGCAATCCTTCGAAAGCTGAAAACGCTCTACCATCTTTGCCAAAAAGTTTTTGCAACTAATGCAAGAAAAAGGGGACCAACAATTAATTTTCTTAGTAAGATTATTAACTAGCTGACAAATTAAGTCAACAAACAAGTCATGTTTATTCAAGTAAGCTCTGACAAGTCTTAAATTTCCACTGATTATAGCAGGGCTGGTTAGCAGACTGCCAGAGGGAGCTGACAGTAAGCAGCCACATCTGAACTTGCAGAGCAGAATCCAACAGTTAAATTAGTAAATCAGCACAGCAACAGAGCAATCTGCCCTCAAACATGGTAATACAAGTGGTTGCAACAAGAGAGATAAAAATACAGCATAACTGCCTAATTCTTAGTTTTAAAGCAATATTGTTCAAAACCAGATGTCCACTCAAGAGAGTAAAACTCTCTGAATGCAAGTGTTTTATTTTTTAAAATTGATGTTCACAGCATGCAAAATCTTTAAAGCTGGGTGCAATGCACTACATTTTTTGTTCCAAATAATTCTTGCTCATACAGTTCTCATCTTGTATTCAATTGTTCTTTAAAAAATACATCATGCAGTTATTCTTCTGCCCTGAGAAAGATTTATTGGAGCAATATAGCGAAAGCTTTCACCATTTACTGAAAGTTTGGTTTACAGAAGAGGTTAACTTCTACCTAGACACAAAGTATCTCAAAATAAGAGAAGGAGACATGCAATTTTTTGCCTACCTGCCTAAAATGGGCAGCATTTAGGCATCTGAATCCAGAGACCAATTTACAAGAAACTCTTCAGGCAATCAAGTTCCTGAGACACATAATATCCTCTCTCAGGTCCTTCTTCCACACTAACCCAACCTTAAAAGTGGGTATTGCTCTATCTTCTTTCAGAAGTTCAGGCCTGTTCAAAAACACACCCAATACCTGCTAACAAGACACAGTTCTGCAAAACTAACCAGTCTTAGAGATGCAACACACCACTGACTAAATAACCAAGGTAGGGGAAACAGGCTATTTATTCACTTAGGCTAAAGATGTTTATATATACACCTCCATCCTTTCAAAGGGGTACTAGTCACCTGAATTCCTCAAAGGATCATTAGCAGCTGTCATAAAGCAGAAAAGCTTTTAGATTACCAGAGCTGGATTAAAAAAACATGGGAGAGTATCTCCTAAAATGCACAGTGCACAAACAGGTAGGTCCAGGCTTTCCCAGGCACTGCCTCATTCACTGACACACAGCAGCATCCCTTTTTACTTCTACAAATGCTGCACTAAAGACACCACTCCCTAGAGCCAGCAAACTACAGGCTATAACACAGAAAGCCTGAGAATCTACACCCAATCCACCTGACTTGCGTACCTAACTTATGTCCCACAAAAAACCTCACTGTTTTTCCAGAAGTAACACAGTGTTCAAGGTTAACTGTACATGAAAAAAAATATATCACATAACCCTAGAATCCTCACAAGGACATTTTCAGTTTAAGTATTCCATCAGATTTACCAGAAACTTGTTCTTACCCTATTATGTCCAATTTTATTTCCTTGGTATCATTCATTCACACACAGTCACCTCCTAGGTCTATTATATACCCCCACAGGGGGAAAACAAAACTAGGAGTGTGTGGCACAGGGAGAGGGATGGTCAGGGGGGGAAGCAGGTCAAGGGAAGCTGGGGAAAAGCAGTCCCAAGTGTTTTTCATCCCAAAGAGGGGAAGGGGGTCATCATTTTCTACTGTAGAAGGTATTTCACTAGCTTTGAGACATGAAAAATGAGCTTCAAATAGCTAATAAGTATTTTTTTCAATCTTTTAATACCTCAATTTTTTTCTGCTCTTCCTCAGATTTTTCCCAGCATTCTTAAAGAACTCACATGCATATTTTGGCATGCATGTAATACTGACACAATTACTGTTTTCTATGTTACTGTCTTAAAAAAAATAATCTGCATTTACTCCCAGAAAGATAGGAATGTATTTGGCTGTCAAATGGCTGAAACTTAAAAACAACTCACATTCTTGACACCCACTCCCTTACCAGACTAATTCTGAATCATAATGAAAGTACATCCCTGATCAACTGAGATAAAAGCTGCAGGTAAAAATATTCACATTATCTTTTAAACTGTATTATCCAATATTCTTTATCTGTAACTAATATTCTAAATCTCTGTATTTCCTACATGTATTGAAAGCTTCCAAGAGCCGATGAATTGAAAAGAAATTTGAATTAGAATGGAGAATTTTCAGTTTTCTAAGCACCACTGCTCAGGACAGTGGAGAGATTCTTCCATTTCAGTTAACATAAGAAAGGCATGGAATAATCCCAAAAAAGGGAGAAAAATATTTCAGTAATTTAAAACAACATATTATTGTCACAATTTCCCTCTCTTGCCCCTATGGTCAGATTAACATTGAAATTCTTTAAATGTTTTATTATGCTCACAAGCTTCAAACTACATATAGTGGCAAATTTCCACTCAAAACAATGAATCTTTGGTTAGAACTTGCCTTCACTGTCTGGGATTTATCTAAACCTCAGAAAGCCATATGTCAGTCTAAACATGGTAGGCAGCTAAGCACCACACAGCCACTT